TGGACATTAAAGTCCAGAGATGAGCCAGCAGCTATAGAGAGAGAGAGAGAGAGAGAGAGAGAGAGAGAGAGAGAGAGAGAGAGGAAATGAATAAAAAAAGTTCTCTTCCTTCCGGCCAGGCATTTCCACACATGCAAATCCTTCCAGGGAGCTCCAGTGGCAGTAAAAAGGCTGTGCAAAGATTCACCGTGCAAATTAAACGGCTAGTGATAGAGAACCAGTTCGATGAATGGAGGCACACCAATAATGCTGAAATATTATGCAGCTGATAAACGATTTATTGTAAAAGGCTTGTAAAACACAGAACAATCTTATGATGTGATACTGAAGTGGGAAGAGCGGTGTGCAGAGTTCACACCCAGGATAATCCCTCTGCAAAACAAGCATTAATAAAAGAGGAAAAAGATAAGGGAAATCCAGCAAAAAGCAATCAGGGTTGTCTGCAGGGCATAGTAAGATTATACATGACCTTTCCCCTTCTTTGTTTCCTCCTAGTCTAAGTTTCATAAACTGAGCCCCCCTCCACCCCTTTCATTTTTCAAAACAAAGTAGAAAAGGAAAATAAAGTAGTTCAGCTAGTCTGTCTTTTTCTCTCCCAGGAGGTCTGAACTCAGGATCATCTTCAAGTTTTTCCTCTCCCCTCCCTCCCACTTGCACTCTGGTTTCCTACCACGACCCCTCTACCCCAGATTCCAAAACCTGTGGAGTAGGAACTCCTTCAGGACAGGGAAGAAACTGAGCTTTTCTCCAGCACTTTTCTAAAGCTGGGAATGCAGGGTTGGGATGGGAGGGTGTGTGTGTGGGGGGGGAGGTAGAAAGACAAGCCATTCCCTGCTAGCCCCAATGTGTGCCTGACCAGAAAGGTCCCAGGAAGCTCCTTCTGGGATCGTAGTGTCCTGGACAGAGTGGCTTCTCTAGGGAGCATGTGGGAGACCCCACCGGAAAGAAGGTCGATTCTTTAGGCTGGGAAGAGGCTGAAGGTTCACCGAGCCCAAGTATAGGAATCCCTGGACCACTTGGTAGCACTGCCGAGTCCTGGGCCCTGGCCAGAGATGTTTTGTGTGGGTTCTAAGGAGACTCAGGACTCCCATTTTAGTTAGTTTCCTGAAGGGTTGGGATGCAGGTGGTTCACAGACGCACCTGTGGCCTCCTCGCCAGCACCCAGTGCAGAATTGGAGGGAGGAGAAGGTGGGGTCTGCAGGGCGAGAGAGGCAAAGCTGTTGCACCCAGGATTTCCTGGAGCCCACACAAACTCAGTTCACATTTGCTGAGCCCTACCTGGCCCTGGCAAAGGTCCACGGCTGTGCACTCTACCTCAGGATTGGAACATGCTGGGGAGGTCCCAGCTTCTATCTGGAACTGAATCCCTACCCGGGGCTCCAGGGCCCACAGACACTTCTTGGCCATTCCGGGACATGCAGGAAGGGAGATGAGGAGGGTAGACAGAGCCCTGGCGAATGAGCAGAAGGACTCCAAGCCGGCAGCAGAAGCTTCTGAGACCTAATGTTCTGCTTCATGGTACCCAGACACGGGACGTTCTGCCATTACACAGAGATGAACTCGGAGAAGCCCAGTTCCTCTGAAGACATCAGAGGAGGTGTGGCCACCATGTCGTCCTCGGAATCCTGGGAAGGAGCTGCTTCTTCCTCTGTAGTCTAGAGAGATGACAGTGAAGTTGAAAAGCAGAGCCTGGCGGTGGGGGTACAGATATAGCTTACTATCATGTCAGTAGAATTGTACATAGCACACTAAGAGTCTTAAACTCATTTTTGCATTTTCCTTTTACTAATTGATTATTTATTTTTTTTTTTAATTTTAAAATTTATTTTTATTTTACCCATATGAGTATTTTGCCTGCATGTGTGTAAGTGTAACGTAGATGTGCAATGCCTGTGGAAGCCAGAAGAGGGCATTGGATCCCCGGGGAACTGGAATTATGGATAGTTCTTAGCTGCCATGTGGGTGCTGGGAACTGAACCCAGGTCCTCTGCAAAAGCAGCCAGTGGTCCTAACTGCTGAGCCATTTCTCCAGCCCCTATTTATTTTTTGAGATGGGGCTTTACTATGTAGCACTGGCTGACCTGGAACTTACTATGTAGACCAGGCTGGCCTCAGACTCATAGATCTCTGCCTACCTCTACAGCCTGAGTGCTGGTATTAAAGGTGTGTGCAACTAGCCCAGGCAGACCCCAGGCTTTGAGCACTTTCTCCACCCCCCCCATATGTATATGTAGTGTATGTATATACTCGTGTTGGGTATGCAAGCGTGTGTATTGAGGTCAGAGTTGACATCGAGTATCTTCCTTGATGGCTGTCCACCTTTTTTTTTTTTTTTTTTTGTCTTTTTGAGACAGGGTCTCCCTGTAGCCCCAGCTGTCCTGGAACTCACTATGTAGAGCAGGCTGGCCTTGAACTCACAGAGATCTACCTGTCTCTGCCTCCCGAGTGCTGGGATTAAAGGTGTGCGCCACCATGCCCGGCTTGTCCACCTTATTTTTTGAGACAGGGTCTTTCACTGAACCTGAAGCACAATGATTTAATTAGACTGGCCAGCGAGCTCTGGGATCTGCCCCTCTATGCCCTGAGTGTCTGCTTTTTAAAATTTTAAATTAAGAACAATTTTTAAATTATACTTATGTGTAGGAGTGTTTTGCCTGCATGCATGGAAATGCATCATGTGTGTGCAATGCCCATGGAAGCCAAAAGAGGGCATCAGATCCCCTAGAACTGGAGTTACAGATGATTGTTAGCTGCCATGTGCTGAGAACCCATCTCAGGTCCTCTGCAAGAGCAGCCAGTGCTTTTAACTGCTGAACAATCTCTCCAGTCCCTAATTGTCAATTAAAAAAAAAAAGGTTCTGGGGATCTGAATTCAGGTGCTCATGCTTGCACAGCAAACACTTTACCTGCTGAGTGTATTTCTAGTCCATATGCTTCCTTTCTAACCCCCTTCTCAGAAAGAAGTACCCCATGACCTCTGGCCATTGTTGGAGGAATCTTGCCTGCCCAGAGCTCTGATTTATTTATTATTGTGTGTGTACATGTATGTGCAGGAGCACCTGCCACTCAACACAAGCATGGAGGTCAAAGGACAACTTTGTGGATGGAGTTGGTTCTCTCCTTCCATCTTTAACTGGGTTCTGGGGATTGAGCACAGGTCTCCAGGCTTGGGAGGCAAGTGTCTTTGCCTGCTGAGCCATCTCACTGACCATCTGTGTTTTTTGTTTGTTTGTTTTGTTTATTTGAGACAGGGTCCCACTTTGTAGGCTGGCTTCACACTCTCTACCCTTGTGCCCCAAACTCCTAAGTGATGGGATCACAAGCATATACCACAGTGCTTGGCTCAGTTGAGAGCTGTTTAAATTGACTCCCAATAAGCTATGATAGAATTGTCTGGATAGAGGAAAAGAGAATGTGAAGTTAAAGAGCCTGTGTGAACTAGTTTAGGCCTATGGCTTTGACAGGGTAGATGAACAGATGGAGAAGTTTGGATTCTGAAGAGAGGATGCTGAAAAAAATAGCCTTCCCTTCCCACTCCCCATTGTCCCGTGGAGTCAGGCAGCATGCTTCCAGAGTCCCTCTGTCCACACCTGGCTGCGGTACTGGATCTCAGCAAAGGGTCCAGCAGAGAGCTTGGGGCTTCCAAGAGGTCCGGGGGATGCTACAAGGTTGATCCTGGCATCTTCAGAGACCCAGCCATTCCCCAGTTTCTGTAAGAGAGACTTGTTCAGAACTCAGAACAGCCTGTTCTTGGCAGAAGAGATGGTCTGGAGTCAAGCCAGGGAAGAAAGAGGGGAAGGACACCGTTCCAGGGTGATTTGACCATTTCCTGTACCTCGGCATGACCTTGGAAAGCTAGTAACTCTCAGTTTCTTTAGCTATAAAATGGGGGGGGACATTTCCCCTTTAGGGTTATAATAAACATTCAGATAACATCTATTTTTTTTTGAGACTGTCTCATGTATCCTATACTGCTCTTGAACTCGCTATGTAGCTAAGGATGACATTGAACTTCTGATCCTCCTGTCTCCACTTCTTGAGGGCTGATATTACAGGTCTGCACCACCATGCCCCTGGGTTATGCTGTCTTGATTCATGCATACTAGGTAAGCACTCTACCAAGTGAGCTACATCTCCAGTCCCCACATAGCAACTTACCACCCAACAAATAAGAACTTCTGGGATGGTTTGTTTTCATTATATTATTTCTATCCTTTAAAGCAGAGAGAACAAACAGGCTGTCTGCTCTTCCTCATGGGCCTCAAAGATTCACCAAATAACAAACAGCACAGGAAACATTTGGTTCATAGCTGTCCCATGTTTTTCTGGAGTCTGAGGGACCAGCCTTGGGCAGTGCATATGGTTCCATTCCTCTGACCCGTGGGTTTCAATGTGGAAGTACAGGGCTCTGTGGCAGCCTCACAGACCTTGGGTACTTTTGCTTAGTTCTGTCTCTCTCAGGCTGAGTTGCTGTGGGCATGGAAACACCTTCAGAGTCCTGGATAGGATAATGGCCTGGATAGGAATTACACAGATTCAATCAATACCCCCATCTGTCTTGTGTAGCCTAGGCTGGCCTTGAACTGGTGATCCTTCCTCCTCAGCCTCCCAGGGCTGGATGTCAGATGTGTGCCATCATGTCCAGCTCCCTTGGTTCACTTGCAGGACAAGCTTCCACTTTCCCTTTGCCCTGAATGTATGCAAAGGAAATTTCCAACCTTACCTGTTTTTCTTCTGGCTTCTGCTGAAGACTATGGAAAGTCAAATGGGAAATAAACCAAGTAAAACCACACCTCAACTGGCCATGTTCGGGAGGCCTTGGCCCTTGACCTTTGGGGTACCCTGTTCCATCTTTCCACCTGAAGGGGCTGCCCCTCAGTGTCCCTCGGTTCACTGCAGGGGGAGTGCAGGTGTCCCAGGCAGGAAGCATTCAAGCCAAGAGTGGGAGACCCACGCTTCACCCTCTGCAGCTGACTTCCTGAACCCCAGCCCTCTCCTGGTGATCCCAACCCGCTCCTCCCTCTGCACATCCAGGTTGCGGCCAGTGGTGGCTTTCCTTCTGCCTCTGTGACTTTTCCCTCACTCCCCTTGGCCACCTTTGGCCTTGTCCCACTTCCTGAGATAGCAGTAGCTGCTTCCTAAGTCCCTGGAGGATGGGGCCTGAGTCTTTTGTCCTCACTGGCGCCAGGAAAGAAGGGAATGGTAGCTTCCCTTTCCTGGCCCCATATTTGGGGGAATCGGAGTAGAGATGCCTCAATAAATAGCATGGATCTGGGGGGCCATCAGGCAAGGCAAGGTATGTTTTTTATTTCCTGAATAAAATAAAAAAAAATTCTTCAGCCCTTCCTCCTCCCTGGAAACATCGGCCTGGGAAGTGGCTCTCTTCCTCAAGTGGGGAAGAGTAGTCTTGGGCAGGTTCTCCTGTTCAGGAAGATGGGAAAAGGGATTTGCTTGTTCCTCTGACCCTGGTCCCCAGAGTGCCACCCTCCACTGGGTCCCTGAGCAGCTACACTAGCATGGTTTCAGAACCACCAAAGACTCAGAAACCACCAGTGTTCTAAGAAATCTGAGTCCTGGTATGTGAGCTTGGACCACACCTTCATACTCTCTGGGCCTCAGTTGCTTTTGTAAATGCACTTTGGAATCACGTTTGAGGGGCTCTTGCACTCTGGTATGCTGTATGCCTAGAAGGATGGGCTGAAACTGGAGCCTGGGAGAGTACATCTATGGGGGCCAGGCTGACCTCCAGCTCACAAAGATCTGCCTGCCTCTGCCTCTCAAGTGCTGGGATTAAAGGCACATGCCAACCACTATGCCTGGCTCTCCTCTGATTCTGAACAGGGGATGGAAATAGGGTGCTGAACCTGGTGGAGAGATGTTCACATGACTCCTTGGGACACAAGGTTGATGATGGGCACTCTGTCCAGCTCACACCCTGAAAGGCTGGTCCTGATATTCATATAGACTCTTCCAGTGCCAGAAGCAAGCCGTGCCTCTGGTTCAGACCCAGAGGCCAGGAGGAAGACACAGAGGTGGATCCAGGAGTCTGACCTCAGTCCCAGGGGTGTCAAGCTCAGACTTTGTCTCCCTCTCTCTCTCTCCTTACCGAGGTTGGGAGGTAGATCTTCTCGTTCCTCTGTGTCTCTGTGGCCAGCCAAGCTGAAAGAGACCCAGAAGGAGCACCTTTAGGCCAGGAGGATCTTAATCTGTTCCGAGAATGCACTGGGCCCTTGTACCTGTGCATAAGGGCTTCCTTCCTAAAGGGAGCTGGCAGGCCGGGGGCAGGAAGCCCTGTCTAGCTCAGCCCTTTGACAAGGATCTGGCCTTTGAGATTCTCTATGCGAGCCAGAAAGTGGCTGGGGAAATTTCACTTCTCAAACCTTAACACGAATAGGGGGCAGCTGTAGTTTGGATCTTAACTGTCCCATTGGAGCCTTTGTCCCCAGCTTGGGACTCTTGGGAGGTAGTGGAAACCTTTAAGAGGTGGGGCTAGGGAGGTCTTTTTCTGAAGGGGGGCTGTGGGACCCCTGTCCCCTCCTCACTTCCTAGTCATGAGCTAAGTGATTTTGCTCTCATCATGATGTACCTTTTTACAGGCCCAAAGGGACTGGGCCATTTGACATAAACTGATACCTCCAAAGCCATGAACCAAGATAAACTTTTTCTGTGTACAGGTTGACCATCTCGGGTATTTGTTATACTGACCAAGGGCTGACTGATTTTTCCAAAATTCAGGTTCTAATTTAGTAGGTTACCTAGAGACTCTGCATTTCTAACGGGCTACCAGAGGGTGGCACTATTGCTCCCCACGGAGTCACTATTCCAGAGGCAAGGTGCCTAAGTGGCTAAGGCTGTGACCAGGAATGCTCTGATCCTGTGTGTTCCCTCCTGGACTTCCCCCCTGAGGGGACCCGAGGACATGAGCAAAGCTGAGGTTTCTTCCTGGGAGTCACACAGAGAGGAGGTGGGAAGCAGTTCCTCTCACTTGTTTGAGCCCATCCATCACATCTCTCCTGGTTGGTCCAAGCAAGTTCCTGTTCAGTTGCTGCAGGTCCGGCCCCTTGTATGGGGGACTGTCCAGGAGTATACAGGGCTGGGCCCTTGATCTACACAGCACAGATGTTATGGGCCTGCATCTGCTGCTGGGCTCAGGCTCACCTTCACCAGGGCCGCTGCAGGCATTTCCTGGCCCCATTACTTCCTAGGTCTACAAACACAGGGCAAGCTGTTTAACTATGCTGTGCCTCTGTTTCCTCCCCTACAAAGTGGGGGTATCCCACAGCATTGAGGTAAATGAATAGGAGCTGCAGAGCCATGCCTGGCACCTGTTAGCTCTTAATACCGCGATGTCACTTAATCCTCTTGGTCTGTGCCATCCAGCGAGTAAGCTAGGAACCACACATGTCACCCAGAACTGGAATGTGGTCACTTGAAATCATACCAGCTTCTAAACACTCACCAAGAAAAAAAGATGTAAGTTATGGTTATCAATTTTTTTTGGTATTTTTTGAGATAGGGTCTCCCTGTAGCCCCAGCTGGTCTGGAACTTGCTATATAGACCAGGCTGGCCTCGAACTCACAGAAATCTGCCTGCCTCTGCCTCCCAAGTGCTAGGATTAAAGGCATGTGCCATCACGTTTGGCTATGTCATCAATTTTTATTATTGCTTTGAGATGAGGTCTGACAATGTTGCTCAGGTTGGTCTCAAATTCCTGGGCTCAAGTGATCCTCCTGCCTCAGCCTCCTGAGTAGCTGGGTCCACAGGCTTGTACTACCATGCTAGACTTTCCTTAATATTTTAATATTGGTTCTGTCACATGTGTGGCTTGTATTCTGTTTTTGTTTGACAGGTATCTGCCACTTGAGTAAATTGAGGCTTGGGGCCGTTAGGTGCCTTGCCTGAGGTCACATAGCTAAAAAGCATTGAACTGGGATTTGAACTCAGGTCTACTAAGGGCCCAGCAACAGATGCAGGGACACAATATTTGTACTGCTTAGGTTCAAGGGCTCAGCCCTGCATCCTCCTGGCCAGTCCAGAGTGGCTGGACATGGACTTGCTGGGACTGACAGGGAGAGACATGACTGATGAGCTCAGACAAACAGGAACTGCTGAAAGGAGAATAATTTTTTATACATATAGGTCTTAATACGTAGCCCTGGATGGCCTGGAACTCACTATGTAGACCAGCCTGCCCTCAGTCTCACAAGGATCTTCCTGTCTGCCTCCCAAGTGCTGGGATTAAAGGTAAGTGCTACCACATCCAGTCTTAGACTGGAGGAGCTGGGACCCCCCTCCCCTCAATCTCTCTCTCCTCTTTTTTTTTTTAAACGTTTTTTATTGTTGTTGTTGTTGTTCTTTTTGAGACAGGGTCTCCCTGTAGTCCAGTTGCCTGGAACTCGCTCTGTAGACCAGGCTGGCCTTGAAATCACAGAGGATCCACCTGCCTCTGCCTCCCAGGTGCTGGAATTAAAGGCGTGCGCCACCACACCTGGCTTTTTTAAACTTAAAAAAAAATTATTATTTTTATTTTATGTGTATGCGTGTATTGCCTGCATGTAGGTAAGTGCACCCGTGTCGTGCAATGCCCACAGAGGTCAGAAGAGGCTGTCGGATCCCCTGGGACTGTAGTTAATGGACAGTTGTTAGCTGCTATGTGGGTGCTGGGATTCAAACCCCGGTCTTCTGCGAGAACAACCAGTGTTCTTAACCGCCGAGCCATCTCTCCAGCCCCTCACTCCTCTTTTATTTAAAAAAATTATTTATTTTTATTTTATGTGCATGAGTGTATTGCCTACGTGTATGTAAGTGTACCCATGTTGTGCAATGCCTGAGGAGGTCAGAAGAGAGTATCAGATTCCCTGGAACTGGACTTGTGGATGGCTGTTAGCCACCATGTGGGTGCTGGGATTCAAACCTGGGTCCTCTGCAAGAGCAGCCAGTGCTCTAACCACTGAGATATCTCTCCAACCCCTTTCACTCCTCTTTTGATTGCTCTTCTCAATGCTGGCTGCTTTGTGACTTTCTCAGAAAGAAACAGCAGGGTTGTGGATGCCCGAATCTCACTGCTGAGACCTGCGGATCTTTCCAGGGTTGATGAGGCACCACAGGTGTCTGTGTGCCTCCCACCTTCTTTCCACTGCCTTGATTGCTTACCTTTGTTTCTCCACCGGAGCATGTGACTGCTGAAGGCAATCAGACCTGCAGCCAGCAGAAGTGACAAGAGGACCAGGACAGGGGCCAGCATCCGGACCATCGGGATGGACACACTGGGGGAGAGATGGAAGGAGCCTGCTGGCTGTCATCAGATAAGCCATCTATGTCCTTGAAACCCAGGCATAGGCTGACAAAGCCATCCCCCAGCCTGGAATCCAATTCAACCAGGCAAAGACTGGCAGGACATTCACAATACCTGAATAGGTAGTATTTAATTAGCTCAGATCCAGAAGCTAGGCTTCCTGGGTTCAAACCCTGGCTTTGACATTTTATGGACAGGTGACCTTGAGCAAGTGATTCAAGCCAGGGCACCAATTTCATCCTCTATAGTGCAGGGTTGTGAGACTAAAACAGGTTGTGATATCTAAAATGCTTAGTTCAAAGCCAGGTACCAGTAATCCCTGCACTTGGGAAATGGAGGCAGGAGGATCAGGAGTTCTAGGTCATCCTTGGCCACCTAGGAAATCAGAGGCTAATCTTGTTGCAAAAATAAAAAGTGCTTAGAACAGTACCTGACCACACATTAGCTGCTAAGTGGGAGTGGTTCCATGTTATGCTGGAGACACTGGGGTTCTGGGATTGAGCCCAGGGCCTCAAACAAGCTGTGCAATTCTCTGCCGCTGAGCGCTATTCCCAGCCCTTTTACTCCTTTAAAAAATATTATTATTATCATTGTGTGTTTGTATGATTGAGAGGGGCTCATGCTATGGATCACATGCAGAGGTTAGAGGGCAACAGAGGAGTCTGTTCTCTCCTTTTACCTTTACATGGGTTCTGGGGGGTCAAACTCAGGTTGTTAGGCTTTAAGCAAGTGCTTTACCTGCTGGGCCATCTTTCGGGCCCTATTGTTTATTTTGAGGCAAAGTCTCTCAAGGTTACCTAGGCTGGCTTTGAACTCTCTCTGTAGCCTAAGCAGGCCTTGAACTTATGATCTTCCAAGTAGGTAGAATTACAGGCCTGTACCTCCACATCTGGCAGGAAATGGGGATACTCTCATTGACCTACAGGTTAGTGTTACCAGCACTGGTTTGATAGACAGTGTTCTGGGTCCACTCAGGTCCTCTGTCTCCCAAGGAGGTCAGAAGGTACCAGGGGCCAGTGTTCCAGAGCCCATCACTGTGTGCCCTGTCTGGGCTACAAAGGACCCCACCCCACAAGACAGTTTCAGCAGGGTCTGAATCTGCTAGCAGTGACTTGCCGGTCAGGAACTAAAGCAGGTGTAACCCCAGAATCTTTCCTTCAGCGTGGGAACCAGTTGAGTAAAGAAAAAAAGCTGGTGAAGGGTTTCCATGTTTTTATTTGTGGCACAAGAGCTCAGGGCAAAGTGTATAGGCAAAAGTTACTATGCTGAGGTGGCTGACCCTAAGGCTAGAGCAGGGAGAGAGATGGGTTGTGGGACTAGGATGGACCCTTCACCTCAGGTGGTCCTGTGTGTCCATGGCAACTGGGCTGCTGGTTCATGATATGCACTACTCAAGGGTCCTTGTGAGGGAAATGAGGGCTGAAATTTGCCCTCTGAGCTACAGACCGTGGCCATGACAAAGAAAGTGTCTGCTTGGAAGAAAGAGTATAGGGTCATTACGGTTTAGTGATGGCTAAAAGGTGACTTTGGGTCCCCTGGACTCACCTGGGGTTGGAGACACTGCTGCCGGTGACGTCACTGGAGCCCTTTGGCGAGATGGGGGGCAGCCAGATGATTGGGCGGGAGCTCCCTGAATGGGGAGAGGTCACTGTGTGAGGAGAGCTCCCTGCATGTGGAGAGGTTCCCGGGGGAGGGGAGGTTCCTGTGGACCAGGTTGGGAGCACCCTGGTGAACACAGGGGCTTCAACCCCGGTCTTCCCCTGCTTGGCTGTGGTGACTGTTGGGAGATCAGGAGAAGCTACAAGTGCAAAAGCAATGCCTCAGCACGGTCAGGGGCCCTGGAGCCCCGCCTCCGCGGGTCCACCCTTGACCCTTGCCTTCCCGGTCTCTCAAGACATCCTCAACCACAGCATTCCCCAAAGGCAAGCTGAGGCCTAGGTGAGGCCATTCTAAGGAGACCCTGGGCCAGGCATATCTGTGCATAGTTAGTCTGCTCCTCAGTGGGAGGGAGGTTCAGTCACATCCTGTGCCCCGGCACTTGTCCAGCACCACTCCATAGACACATTCCTGCCTCTCCCTTCCGCCCTGGCCAGTGGTCACCTCTTTTCTCACCAAAGGGTAGGTTCTCCTCTCTCTATTACAGGCCTCTGCCACCTATGCCTCAGTAAGGCCCTGGTCTCCTTCAGTTGCTAGAGGCCAAGCAAGGCAGGGTGGCAGGGTTGAGTCCAGAGGTCAGGGCCAAGGCCAGTGTTTTTGGTTCACCCCTAGACCCTGGAGAAAGCTTTGGGGTTAGTTGTAACCACTTCCCATGTGACTTTGAACCAGTGCCACATCACCCCCCATCTTTGCTTCCTCAACCGGACATTCTAGCTTCTGGGACTATTGGGGACCCTGGGTGGCCCTCCCTGTTTGCTTCCTGGAATGGGGAAGGGATATAAAAGCCATTGACTCACTCAATTCTGGGGGCTGAGTTTGCCAGGCTTTTGCACTGGGCTGCAGGTACGTTGTAGCAATAAGAAACTGGAAGGAAGGGAAGGGGGAGGCACCAGTGGTGCTGGGACTGTCCCCTTTTCCTATAGGAGAGGGAGAGGCTGCTCTCAGGGAAGGTCCGAGCCACTGGGCTAACAGCCTGTCCCTCCTCAGGAGCAGCAGGCAGTTTCTCCCATCCACACTCAGCACAGAGTGGCACCACCCTCTCCTCCTAGCCAATCAGAGGCCACAGCTGGCAGATCCCAGATGACCCTAGGTCTTTCCCACCTGCTGTTCACTTGGCCTCTCACTAGATTGGGCCTTGTGTGTCCCTTGCCTGCTCCTTCCATGCTACCCTTTGCAGGGATACCTGCATTTCTAAGACACACCTGAATCCTATTGCTTCTTGCTTGGGAACAGTTCATAGCTCCCAATCACCTGTGAACTGAAATTCAACTTGTTTAGTGTGTCTTTCCAGGCCTTTGAAAGTCGAAGTTCAAACCATCTTGCCAGGGTTACATCTTTCCCCATGTGGAACCTGAGCCACATAGAGATGGTCAGGGTTACCTCTTAGAGATAGATCTCTCTTCAGGGTTATCCTCTATTTCTCTGTGCCTATTCCTCCACATGTGGGACCTCTCCTTACCATCTCCACCTAAAGCCCTTTTTTCCTGTCCTTCAGCATCAGCTCATAACTCAACCCCCAGTAATATGGAGGAGTTCCCCCCTTTTCCTTGTGTTCTCCCAAATCTGTGCTCACCTCCAGGGAAGATAGTACCCAATTCCACTGCAGTTGCAGCTTTGTGGGGTCTCCCACAAGGCTGAAATGTTTCAAAGGTAAAAGACCTGTGGAGTGGGTAGCCCCTCTCTGTGTGTGGCTTCCCCACAGCCATCAATGCCCTGGAGTCCTTTCTGACCACAGCCAGCCAGGACGCTGCCCCTTGCTCTCTAGTCTCTGTTCTAACACACTGTCATTTTCTTACATTTTTCTAAATAGGTGACAAAATCTTCAGTAAATAAAAAATATTTTTTTTTAACTTTCTGCATTTATAAGTCTCTATCCATTTCCGAGGGCCTCCAGACAATGAAGAGTAAAAGAGGCGATAGTGGGTATGCTTGTCTTGTTTGTACTTTTCTAGAAATTATACGTGATTTTCTGTATTCTGTGGTATGCTGTAGGGAAGCTCATGATGGCCAAGGAGAGCTGCATGTTAACTTTTCAGGAATTCTGTGAGCTGGTTGTTAAATGGTTGGTGGCTAGAAACTGGCCATGGCAAAAGTGTTGCCACCATAGAAACTGGCAAACACTGTAGACTTGTATCCCCAGTGGCTTCAGGGTACCCACCAGCATATCCTTGCCATCAGTCTTCCTCACTGGCAATACAAACTGTCATCAGAGGCCAACCGGCTGTGACACAGGAGGAGAGTAACACATGGATCATACACGGAGAAGTGACTAGAGCTGAGGGCAAGGACAGACACAGGAGAGCCTCCGAAATAGACAACACTCATTACAATTAGGCAAAAAATATGGTGTACTGATAAGAACTGGAAAGGGTTGGAGAACCTTGTAAATAAAAGAATAGATTCACTAGGTTTGATTTATTGCTGCAGCACTAGGCAAGTGCTCTGCACCCCCAGCCATGCTGCCAGTCCCATCCATGAGGATTTGATGGATGCTTAATGTTATTGTTCAGATAGTTTATTTCCCTGAGTTTCACTAGAGACCCACAGATGGCAGAGATCAGGATGGACCTGGGCTTGGGATGGGTTCTGGCTCCCAGGTCAGAAGAGGGAAAGAACAGAGCCAAAGATAGCAGTGATCTGGGTTTGAATCCTGTCTGCACCACTTCTTGTTGCTAGTACTTGAGTGGCTTGGAGTCTTTGTGCCATATCTGTGAAATGGGGGTACAGAGTCCTACTTTGCCTTCACTGACCTGAGACTGGGCTTCCTTCCCTTCAGCTCTCCAGGTCCAAAAAGTGGAGGCCACCAGCATGGCAAGGCCAGCATGACATGGTGGACACTGAGGGCTGGGTATGGGCTACAGCCACAGTTGGCCTGGTCTCAGGAGGCCTTCGGGGCATCGCTGTGTGCAGTTCCTTCATTATCCCCTGGACAGTCATCTTGTCCTCCCCCTATGGCAGTCCTCCCCAACACATCTGAGCCAAAACCATGACAGATAATGGCTCCATCCTGTCCATCCTGCTCTGTGAGGTACTAGTGAGGGGCTTGGGCAGCAGGAGTGAAGGCACACTGAGGCCCCTCTGATGCTGCCCTCAACACTCAGCTTGTCCCCAGTGATTCTCAAGTCCTCAAGAGGCCTGGTACCAGGACCACCCCCTTTTGTAATGGAGAAACTGGATCATGGCTGAGGTCCTCCCATTTGTCCCTCATCCCTCATCTCCTGTATGTCCTCTGGAACTCAGGGAGTGGGGAGAGACATTCATTACCTGGAAAGACAATGAGCGAGACCTCAAAAGCTTCATCGAAGCCCACTCTGTCGACCCCGCACCAGTACTTTCCAGCATCCTTCAGAGTGAGGCCTCTCATGGTCACAGTCACCAAGAGATCCTGGGGGCTGTCACGGATGGACACCCTGCCCTCGGTCACCTCCTGGTCTTCTCTTGTGTAGATGATGCCAGAGCAGCGGGACACTAGGATCCCACCCTGCTGGCACCAGTACTTCCGATGTTCTTTCAGCGTCTTCTCGTAGGTGCACTGTAGGGTCACAGTGTCACCTTCAAATCCGCTGATCTCCTTTGGGCCTTTCAGAGCTTTATGACCTGAAACTACAGCAGGAATGGAGATGGGATTTCCTTGGATCCAAGTATGAGGCCAAGACCAGAAGTTTCCATTTCCCCTAGCGGAAGGAAAGCTTTCCGCTCAGATCTTCTGGGGCAGTCCCGTAAAACCCAGGCACGGTTTTCCCTTCCTTGAGGGAAACTTAGAGCAAAGCTGCTGCTCTTTCCACTTATTGACAGGGTGGTGCAGGTGCTCTAGATTCAAACAGCTGGGATTTGAACCCTGGTATTGGCATTTAGTAGCTGTGTGACCCTGGGCAAGTTCCTTAACCGTTCTAGGTTTTTCCCATCTATAAAGGATGATACTGTTCTATTCTATTGCATTTAAGAGGTGTGAGCTGGGTTAGTGGGGTGACTCAGGGGCTAAAGGTGCTTGCCTATCAAGGCTGACAACCTGAGTTCAATCCCTGGAACCCACATGATGGAAGAAGAGAACCAACTCCCACGAGCTGTCTACTGACCTCTGCATGTGCATGATATTGAGTACCTACTATTTACCAGGTAAATTACATATATTTTAATTTTACACTTCACAACCCTAGTTAACATTGCTGAAGACTGACTTTCCTGGTGAGGGAAGAGGGCTCAGGGAAGTGATGGATTTGTCCAAGATGGCACTGCTAGTAAGAGACAGAATGTCAATTTGAGTTCACATCATCCTGCCCCAAGGAGTCACATTCTCATCCCGGTAGACAAACGTTGCCTCATGAAGGAAAGGCCCCAAGAAATATGGATTCTTCCCAGGCATAAGTGGCTTTTCATCAACTATATCAAAATGGCATTGTTTTTTGAACCATTTCCTTGATCAAACACGCCTTCTCAAACACGCCTATCACGTCTATGTGTCAAACCCTTTGCCTTTTGCTGCACTGTGTGATTTTGACACTCAAAAAGGAAGCTCTGTTCTGGCGCACCCCACATGTCCAAATGAGATCCAATCTGGAACCCCAGGGGGCTCTGCACCCCAGGAGGTCCATTCCACATCCACCTGTGGTCCTGCACCTCAAGTGCTCTTCCCGTGCTCTGCCCCCTCTGGCCTCGACCCACAAGGCCAAGCCCGGTGGCCTGGCCCCCAGCTGCTCTCTGGCGGTCCTCCTCTGCCTGAGGGCTCTAGGCAGCAGTCAGTGTAGCTGCCTGCCCTACACAGTGCCAGGTCTGCAGCATCTCTGAAAGTAAAGGTTGTATGGTTTGGTCCTCTTGATCTATGAGAACTCAAGCTCCACTTCATGGTAAAGAGCAAGATGAGATTTTTAGTGCTGGAGAGATGGCTCAGCAGTTAAGAGCACTGGCTGCTCTTGTAAAGGAGCCAGATTTGGTTCCCAGCACCCATATGGCAGTTAACAAGCTGTCCTTAACTCCAGTTCCAGGGCATCCGACACCCTCTTCTGACCTCCATGGGCACTGCTTGCATATGGGGATTTTACATATAGGCAACTAAATAAATAAATAAATAAATAAATAAATAAATAATTTTTTAAAGAGGTGTGAGCCATATCATAAGTTTCTGTAACATTAAGAAAAACATGGCTGGGGCTGGAGACATGGCTGTGCATTTAAAAGCTCTGGCTGCTCTTGCAGAGGACCTAGGTTTGATTCTTAGCACCTACACGGTGGCTAACAACCATCTGTAACTCCAGTTCCAGGGGATCTGACACCTTCTTCTGTTCTCTGTGGGCACTGTACCATATGGGTGCACTTGCATACATGCAGGCAATACATTCATACACATAAAATAAAAATAAATAACTTTAAAAAACTAAAAAAAACATAGGCTAGGCCTGTTGGCACATGCCTTTAATTGCAGCACTCAAGGGGCAGAGGCAGGCAGATCTCTGTGAGTTCTAGGCCAGCCTGTTCTGCATATACATAGTGAGTTCCGGGTCAGCTGGGGCTACAGGGGGATCCTGTCTCAAAAAAATGAAGGCAAAAACAGCTTCTCTGAAGGTGGTGCTGTAGTTACTGTCCAGCGCTTTGTGCTCTTGTATATACTCTATGAACTATCCTTCCTTCCTATTAAAAAGGAAAAAAAAAAAAAAGAAGAAGAAGAAGAAGAGAGGGCTAGAGAGATGGCTCAGCAGGTAAAAGCGCTTTTTGCAAAAACTTGAGTTTCATCCCTTGGTCCCACAGTGCAAGGAGAGAGAGAGCCTACTCCTAAAAGATGGAAAACAAGTATAGTAGAAATTCAACAAATGTTTGCGGAATTAATAGGGCAAATGGACGGGTGTTTTTGAGATCAGAGAAATTCTCATTTTTTCACCCCTGCAGAGTCACACAGCGGCTGAAAACCTAGGGGTCAGGGGGCATCCCTGGCTCTGAGGTCAGAAAACTGCGCCCGGCTCAGCGCTGCGGGTGGGTGGGCTGGGACGAGGCATGCCCCATCTCCCTTACTACCCCTCCTCCCCAACCCCCATGCGGCTTCAAAGCTTGGGAGGAAGCAGGCGTTAGCTCAGGAGCTCTTCGCAGCCCTATGGGGCGCCCTCACGCCCCTCCACCCCTGCCACCTCGTATCCCCTCACCTGGAAGCACCAGGTAGCCCCACAGCAGGATCAGAAGCCGCATGGTGGGTGCTGGACACCGCGGGAGGAGATGCCGGCAACTGCGAGCTCCTCTGGACCACGCAGGACTTCAGCTTCCTGCAAAAGCGCCAGGCTGGGGTGAGGAAGGGAGGGGCGGGAGGCAGGTCACCTCGGCCAGCCCAGCCTCCGAGGCACCCCTGCCCTTCCCTTAGTTCTGAGCTCCTTGGTGGCTGGATCCCGAAGGCTGCAGACCCACGCAAGCGCTTCTCCAAACTCCAGCCCCTGCCTAACCTTAACTTGTGATCCGTGCACCGCCGCTCTGCCCACCGAATTCGGGAAGTCTGAGTACTCGGTTGGGAAAAACTTATATCGTGGCCTTCAGGAACCTCTGCTCGTTTGCTTTTCCTTCTAACCTGCAACTGTTGCAATAAAAGAAATCACAAACACTGGTGCAACCGGTTATTGCTGGTATCCTGAAACTCCTCAGTGTTTGGAAAATTATTTTTTATTATTTTAAACATATGTTATTTATTATTTTTTATTTTATGTGTATGAGTGTATTGCCTGCATATGTGTAAGTGCACCTGTGTTGTGCAATGCCCACGGAGGTCAGAAGAGGGAGTCGGATTCCCCTAGAACTGGAGTTACAGACAGTTGTTAGCTGCCATATGGGTTCTGGGAATCAAACCCGGGTCCTCTGCAAGAGCAGCAAGTGCTCTTAACTGCGGAGCCATCTCTCCAGTCCCTTATTTTTATTACTAAAATTTTTTGAATTTTATTTATTTATTTATTTTTATATGAATGTATTGTCTGCATGTATGTAAGTGCACCTGTGTCATGCAATTGTCCAGGGAGGGCAGAAGAGGGTGTCGGATTCCCTGGAACTGGAGTTAAGGCCAGATGGTTAATTGTTGTGTGGGTGCTGGGAATGAAACCCAGATTCTCTGCAACAGTAGCCAGTGCTCTTAACAACTGAGTCATTTCTCCAGCCTCAAGTTAGTTTTTAGACCTGCCATTATTGAAGTACTCCATAAGGAAGCACATTTATTTGTCATTATATTACAGAGTATATATTTAAAATCATTTCCCTGTTTTTAGTTTATTTAAACATTTAATTTATGTTTTCATTTATTGTGTGTGCTGGGGGATGGGGACACACACATGTGCCACAGGATATACAGCGGTCAGAGGACAACTTGGGATAAATGCCATTACCTACTGTGCTATTTGGCCTGCCTGCTTATTGTTGTTGTTTTTGTATGTGTGTGGGCACACGTGCCTCAGAGTGCTTGTGAAGGGGACAACTTTGTGGAGTCCGTTCTCTGCTTCCATCGTTCCTGGCTTTCAAGAATCGAACTGAGGTCACCAGGCTTGCACAGTGAGTGCCTTTTACCCACTGAGCCATCTCCCCAGCCTCCCTAGTTCATTTTAAACATATGGATTTATTTTTGTATACGTATGAGTCATTATTTTGAGAGGGAGAGGGAGTTTCTCCATCCACACTGTTAAAGTGGTCAGCGATACAGGTCTTAAGGCCCTGGCTTCCTTGCATCACATCCCATTATGCCCCCATGCAGCATCTCCCTTGACCACTAGGTAGCGGTGTAGGCAGGGCTGAGCTGAATTGTTTGGGTGCCTTGAGCCAGTTCTGCAGCAACGCTGGTTCCCTAAGCTTTCTGTGACTGCGACTGTGACTGTACTGCTTTGTTTGGCTATGCCAAAGTGAATCCGTGGTTTGTTCCTCCATTGAAGATTTGCATACCCTTAAAGTGAACAAAACAAACACACCCATTAGAGGGAGCTCTGATGTGAGTGTGTGTGTATGTGTGTGTGTGTGTGTGTGTGTATTGAATTTTTGAGCATTTCATACAATATGTCTTGATCATATTTGGACCTCCTCCCCTATCTGCACCCCCTATAGCCCCTCCACCAGATTTCATGCACTCTGCCTTATTTGTTAAGACCTATCAAGTCAATTTTTGGTCCTCAGATGTCCCTTGGTGTGATTCACTGGAGCCTGGTCAGTGTCACTCCCTTAAAGAAGACCAACTCTTTTTCACCCAGCAGTGATTAGCTACAAATAGTTCCTCAGCTAAGGTGGGGGCTAAGTGGCCATTTCCCCAGTTTTATGCTGGGTTTGAGTGTACATGGGTCCTATGCATGCTGTCAGTGTTGCTGTAAGTTCATATGAGCAACTTTCCAGCTTCCTGGAAGACTCTGTTTTCTTGTGGTCCCCACCATTCCTGGCTCTTAAAGTCTTTCCTCTCCTTCCACAAAGATCCCTGAGCCCTGGGTGGCAGAGGTTTAATATAGGAATCCTATCCAGGGACATGCACTCTGCAGTCTCGTATTCTCTACATTTTGGCAAGTTGTGGCTTTCTGTGTTAATTGTCCTCTGTTGCATGAGGAAGCTTCATTGGTGAGAGTTGGAAGATGCATTAATATTCTCTCTGTTCCAATATGTCCCATGAGCCTTAGGTGTAGAGGTTCCATTGTAGATGTGTCACTTAGGGTTGGGCATCTCACAGGCGCTTATTCTGTGTGTGACCAGTTGTAGAGCTCTGTAATAGTCTCCATCTGCTGCAAAAAGAAGCTTTTTTCATGAGCGCTGAGAGTTCTACTTATCTGTAAATATCAGGATGCATATTTAGCATATGGTAGGAAATCACGTCTGTTTAGGGATGTGACAGATGTAAGATTTACTCTAGGATTTATGACTTCCACAGTCATGCATATTTGGCTATGTTTACAGTACCACACATGCGTTCCCTTCCATTGAGCAGGCTTTAAGTCCAAAAGGTAGCTGTTGATTACCCCCAAAATGAAAGTGCCACTACTGCACCAATAGAGATAGTCTACTGTGCCAGACAGTATGGTTATCAGGCTTTACAGCTGGGGTTGGACCACTGATTGATTTTCTCCCTTAACAGCTTGCATAGTACCTTCTGAAGCTATGAGAGTTCGTCTGCAGGAAGGAGGCTTCCAGGTCTGCTTTGTCTGTGGTTTGTTTCTCCCCAGCAAAATTGCAAACTCCTTATAGGGAGCAAAACAAACACACCCACTAGAGGTCACTCTGATGTTTTCTAAAACAGCTGTCCTCTGCCTGGGAAGTTCATACAGGTTGTAAGCATATTTTTAAAAATATTTATTATTTTTATTTTATGTGTATGAGTGTTATGCCTGCATGTAAGTAAGTGCACCCATGTCGTGCAATGCCTGTGGAGGACAGAAGAGGCTGTCGGAGCCCCTGGAACTGGAGTTACGGACAGTTGTTAGCTGCCATGTGGGTGCTGGGATTTGAACCCAGGTCTTCTGCAAGAACAGTCAGTGTTCTTAACTGCTGAGCCATCTCTCCAGCCCGTAAGCATATTTTGACATAATACAGAAATGTAAGAAAACAACAGAAGTGTTACTTGTAATTCATCTTCCACCTTAAAAAAATCATCATTAATAGTTTGATATATTTCCTTACTAAATACACTGGGAAATTTCCCCAAAGGGGTGGTGGTGGTGGTGATAACTGTGTGGTTGTGGAGGGGGAACTGGTCTGCATGGTTCAATTATAGAGGTCAATTTAAAATTTATATTTATTGGGCTGGAGAGATGGCTCAATGGTTAAGAGCACTGACTGCTCTTGCAGAGGACCTGGGTTCGATTCCCAGCACCCACATGGTGGCTAACAGCCCTCTGTAATTCCAGTTCCAGGGGATCTGATGCCCTCTCCTGGACTTGGCAGGCATTGCACAACACAGGTATACAGACAATATACTCATACACATAAACTAAAAAATAAATAGAATATTTTAAAAATTTACATTTATTTACATATATTGTGTGTACGTGTGTGGGGGTACATGCATGTCATGGCATTCATGTGGAGGTAAGAGGACAAACTGCAGGACTGATTCTCTCCTTCCGCCATATGGGTCCCCAGGATTCAACTTCAGTTATGTTTGTGAATGTCTTTACCCACTGAATCATCTTGGTATGTCCAGGACATGTGGTTTAAATCATTTTTTAAAATTTACTTTTATTTTATATGTATGAGTGTTTTGCTTTCATGTATGTATGTGCATGCAGTGCCCTTGGAAGTCAGAAGAGGGTGTTGTATCTCCTGGAACTGGAATTACAGGTAATCGTTATTTGCCATGTGGGTCCTGGGAACTGAACCTCCATCCTCTGCAAGATCAGCCAGTGCTCTTAACCATTGAGCCATCTCTCCAGCCCCAGGTATGTGTTTTGATTCCACAGTGGTTGGTAGGCACTCCTGCCATTTACTGAGCTGGGCCATCTTGTTTTGAAACCCTACTTGACCCCAGCTCAGAACTTGAGTCCTTTTCATGTGCACAGATTACCTAAGGTAATAATTGGTTTTTACAGTTCTGAAAAAAAACCCCGACACAATTAAAGTAATATCTATTCTAGTGTTTCATAGTATATTTCCATTCATCTTTCTGTGTTCTTCTACAGAATAATTTTTAAATGTTTTCTTTTCTTAGCACTTGATTTATTCATCACAAGCAGGGCACCCACCTGACACTTCATTATATTTTCTAGGGCCGTGGGGCCCAGCCACTGACATTTTGAAATATGTGCTCTCTGGTAATAAATTGTTCTCTTTTTCTTTTTTGCTCTCTAGCACAGCTGGGATGTTATATTTATAATGTAAAGAAATTAACTGTATGAGAAGGCAGATTATTTATGATTGTCATTCCAGAGGAGGGCAGGGAGCATTACCAAATGCTCACTTATATAAACTGAGCATTGGGTCTGAGGCTCAGACCCAATATATTCCAAGGTCCTTCCCCTCTACTTTCCCAGGCCCACTCCTAGCCCAGGAGCTAGAGAACTTTGCTAAAAACAGATATTGGGCTGTCAAGATGGCTCAGTGAGTAAAGGTGCTTACCATCAAGTTGATGATCTAAGTTTGATCCCTGGGACCCATATGGCTGAAGGAGAGAACTGAATCCTGAAATTTGTTCTCTGACCTCCACACAGATGCTCCCTCCAAATAAATAATAAATAAATAAATAAATGTAATAAAAAATTCAAGTAGATCTTCTGGGCCAGGGAATGGAGCAAGGCATGGGAAAAAGGGTGTATGGGCCCTGCTCGTG